GTATAGCGGTGTAATTATCCTTAATTCTTGTTTTTTCTCGGTTTCCTTTTTTTCTCAGGCTAGCTTGTATTTTCAAAGATTTCGAAAATATCTCGCTTCAACGAATTTCGAAACTGAACATGATCAGCGAAAAAAGAAAGAATAACAAGAAGAGGATTAATTGTAAAATAAAAAATTAGAGAGCTACGATAACGAGTATAAATTTGAAACTAAAATACCGAAGTAACTTGTTTCATTTTCTTCGTATTAATGTTAAAGTAGAAGTCAAGATAAATCTTTTTTTCTAAAGTTACACTGAATTTTTTGAAATATTTCAAATATTTTGGTTCATTCAGTTCTGAAACTTATTAGTGAAAATAAGATGTGGATTAATTGCAAAATAAAAATTAGATTGTTGCGTGTCAAATATAAATTATGAAATTAAAATACTGATGTTACTTGTTCATTTTTCTTCGTATCAATGTTAAATTAAAAATAGGGAAGAATGTCGAATTAATTTACTTAATTTTCTGGATATTTAAATTTCTTTTTCTTCTGGTAACAGCATTAGGGCATTCAAATTATGATAAATGCTTCTAGGTTTTCCAGTGAAACGTGTCAGAAATCTCGCGTGAAATATGAACAGTACATGTCGCAAGCAGCGCAATTGAATATCCGGTGGGCAAGATTCAAATGTAACTGAACGCCTCTGAGCAAAACGACGAGCGTACTTAATCTTGATACACCGCGTTTCCTATCAAAACGTCAAATCTGGCCTCCGTAAAGTACGATAATTAAAATACGTTGATCGTTGACCAATGTGATACTTGTAACATAATACCAGCAGAAAATCCACCGTGCCATTTTTTATTTTCAGTTGTTTTCAATACAAGATTTCAGATTCGATGTAATTCTATGATTGAAAGTGGAGCTGATATTTTGGAGAACCTTGGTGATACTTTTGATCATTTTTAAGTTAGCTGAATATCAATATTCAACTACTTCTGTTAACCCCATATCCTAACAAATTGTTTTTTAAATGGAGGAATAATATACAGTATTGGACAAATTAATTCAGACGAACTGTTCTTTTCGTTTGTTTACGTTCTTTATAATAATAATATCAACAAACTGTTCGTCAATTTCTTCAGTAGGTACTGTATATTCCTAATATAAAAAAATGAGACGAACAATTCATCCAAAATCTCAAATCTCTCCAAAAAATCTTTTCTCGACTAAACACCAAATTTCCAGTAAAAAAAAAAAAGAAGAAAAATCTCAAAATCTCCAGTATACTGTACAGACAATATTCCTAAAATAAAAAAATGAAACAATTCACCCAAAATCTCAAATCTCCACCAAATCTCCAATAAAAAAAAAAGGAGAAAAATCTCCATTGTACCGTATATATTCCTAATTTTCAAAGAATGAAACAATTCGCCGAAAATCTCAAATCCCTCCAAAAACTCTTTTCTCGACTAAACACCAAATCTCCACTAAAAAGAAAGAGGGGAAAAAAGAAGAAGAAGAAGAAGAAGAAGTACTCACTTGGGTCGGCTACGAAATCGGTGATGAGCAATGTCTCGTCGTCTAGAGCAGTGACGAGGCTGTCCGTGCAAGTGTTCGTGTTCTCGATGCTGATCTTGATGCTGTCATCTTTGTTAAGCCGTGGATGATTGTTCGCGGCGGGGTTATTACCGGCGTGGCAGTTATTATTGTTGTTGTTGTTGTTGTTATTATTATTATGGTTGTTGTTGTTATTATTATTGTTGCCGCCCTGCTGCTGGCCGAGGTGGTGATGGGGTGAACGAACGGATTCTGTGCTGCTGGT